TTGTCTACATCTGTTCTCTAACAGATGTTTAACTAATGTTTGGGACACAACCAACAACATCAGACAAATGTGGAATCATAATAAGTGTCTGCTGACAAGTATGATTTTATAAGCTAACCTCTGATTGGCAGTTAAAGGGTCAGTGAAGATTTGAGGATGAAAACGATCAATTCTATTATAATCATGATTATTATTAGTATTATCATTATCATCATTGCTGCCATTTTATTTCCCCTCAGTGAAATACGTCTAGTGAAATGCCTCATGGAACAATAAATTCAGCAAGAAAAATCCAGTCTTTGGACTCACTGTTTTAACCCAGTTTGCTTTGACGTTTCGATTTTAACACTTAGACCAACTCATTTTATTTCCTTTAGGTGAATGAAAAAGTGTGTCCAAACTTTTGAATGATACTGTATGTGATCCTCACTCCTCCCATAGTATGCTGCTGCATTCACGTGCTCTACGGATGGTTCCATTTTCAAAGTTGGGAAGTTGTTCTTCTGACTTTGGTGCGCTCATGTGCTTTTAAGTCTGAATGTGGAAACAATTTGAACGTTCAGGGTTACTGCTAAAAAATAACTTTTCCAACTAATGTCTGTCACTCCGGGTGGACGGCAACTAACAGCTACATCCCATCCCATCTTGGACGAAACCAACCATCCTCTCCACAACATTCTGGCAGGACAGAGAAGCAGCTACAGCTGCAGCAAACGTCTTATCTCACTGCAGAACAGAGAGGTTCAGGAGATCCTTTGTTCCCACTGCCATCAGGCTATACAACACCTCAGCCAGAGGAAGTGGACTCATCTAATTATTATTGTTTACTTGTCATTTACTGTTTTTATTATTACTATTATTATTATTATCAACAATGAGCTAATGGACACATGATTTTCCCCTAGGTGATAAATAAAGTATTTATCTATCTATCTATCTATCTATCTATCTATCTATCTATCTATCTATCTATCTATCTATCTATCTATCTATCTATCTATCTATCTATCTATCTATATTCTCCTTCATTTACTCATTTGACTCTTTTATCCAAAGCGACTTACAAGTGAAGGACATCAGTGAGTTTCAGTGCAGTAGGAACCTTAGTGTAAATACTAAGTACTACATCAATTTAATAAGTGCAAGGAGATCGTATTAAAGAAGTGCACCAAAATACTTTTTCTTTGTCAACATATTTTGCAGCTAAATAAAATGTAAGAAGTCTAAAAGCAGCTTCAGTGTCTCATGTGCAAACACAGAAACATCCTGTCAAGACACATTTACAGTCAAATTTATTCCTCTCCACCAGACTTTGTTAAAAGGGATTCATATCAACTGGCAAAGGCTGAAAAGTTGCTCTTAAACGACAGTTCATGAGAGTTTATTGAAAGTTCTTCTTTGTTGAGGATCAGTGAAACTCTGTCAGAGTCAGAGAAGCAACTTAAAGCAGGTTAAACACAGACTGAAACAAACCATCATCTACAATCAGCAGACCCCAGTCCTTCAGTACTGTGAATCAGTGGTGTGCGTTGACCTTTACTGATAGGCAAAAAGAGCTGCGCCCCCCACCAGCCCCCAACTCACCAACGTCAAAGATATAAACCAAACTAAAAACGTACCTTTCGAATGACAGTAGCAGCAGACAAAGTCTCTTAAATATGAGCGCGCCTGTTACTGTCTCATGTTTTCCTCTGCTCCAAAGTCTCTCCTCCATCTTGCTGCTCTCTCCGGACATCTTCAGCTTCCCTCCTTTCTGTCTGAACATGTTAGTATCGTTTTGTTACTGAAACTGACTTACACTTCACACGGGAATAAACGCACACATTTTTTTCAGGATAAATCAGTGAATGTTTAACAGGAAACAATTTAGGTTCATGGTCAGTTGCTCAAAGTCACACAGACTCGGTTGTTTTTGAAACTTAAAGGTCATCGTTATTCAATAGGCTCTTTTTTCAGTTTTTTACACACAATAAATAGTTTAATATGACCTGATTTAGAAATGTTTCAGTGTGTAGTTCATATCTATATGCATACACTGCAGTTCACACATCATGGCTGCTGAAGCTGCACCACTGGACGTCTTTTGCACAAGTATTTACAAAAGTTTATCTGAGGCAAATATGAGACTTAATTAACTACAGCTTTGCTGAGCTATGACAGAGACCATGTCAGTAATGTTTTAACTAGGTTTATTAAAATCGTACATTACATGTCTGAGCAATTGATAAAAGAAGAACAAAAAAAAGAACAAAAGAGAAGTCAAGATGACAAATGTTATTTCATGATTATGGACAAATCTGATTCTGTGCACATACAAATGTCCTGGTCATTAGTATCAAATATACAATATCCATATATATCCATTGTGAAAGATTCAAATCCTTATAGAATGAATCATTATAGAACAAAAAGAAAATTCACATCCTGTGATTTACTGAAAATATATAACATATAGACTCTAGCATTCTGATTACTTCCTGTTACAGCCACAACAAAACATGTGGCTCAACCTTGTGACCAGCAACATATAAACAGGAAGCCATACCCAAGATTCAGTAAACTGACTATTTACAAACAATGTACAATGTTCAATCAAAACCACGAGTCTGAAGGCTTGGTAAAAAAAGAACAAAAGGTAGGAGGGAGCCTGTGCTTCAACTACTCCTTTAAATGTTAATACCAGGGGTAAATGGTGTATATGTCATTTGTCCCTGAAGTCCTGTAAGGTGATATGTTTTATCTTGTGAGGACAGGTTATTACCTTAGAAACAAGATGAAAGAAAATATCACCTTTCAGGACTCTAGGGGCTCCATGCATTTGGGTTGTCAGCTGTAGAAAACTACTATCTCAGCTTTTCCTGAGATTCCTCTCACCACAAACAGAACTCACATTAACTCACTAACCCAGGTGACACTTTCTCCATTAAAAAATAAAAAATCCAATCTATAAATGTCTTGTTCTAGTAGTATTACCTGCTCAAAAATGATAGGTGTAGCATAATTCCTCCACGGCACATCAAGCAAATAACTTCATAAAATACAACAGGGAGATCTTGTCTCAACTTCAGTGAGAAGCTTCTGTATTAAATCACTTATTTCTCTTTCATGTATTGTTTGCAGGTTTTCTTTTTCTGACGGATTTTTCACCTCCTTCATTTGGTTTTCATGCGTTATCAGTAAGTTCTTGATTTTTGTCACATTTTCACTTCTTTTGGTCACACATTTCACCAAGTCACTGATTTCTCTTTGATGTTTTTCTCTCCTTTTATTTTCATTGTGGGCTGAAAGTGCCTTTAACAGGTCATACTTCTCATCTTTGTCTTTCATGTGTTCCTTATGTTTCTCATCCTTGCTCTCATTTGTTTCTCATGTTCCTTTTTCTTGAGCAGCAAAGTCTTTTGGTGTATTTCTCCTGAATTATTGAGCTCTTCAGCTTTCTTTCTGGCTTCCTCCTCGTATGTTTTCTTCAGAGTCTCCAGGTTTGTTTTATAATTATTCTCTAATTGTTTTCCGCTCTTTTCCTCCTTTCTCTTCTGATCTATCCTCTCTTCTCTTTTCTTTTCAATATTTTCTCTCTTTCCTGCTTGTACTTTGCTTCAAGTTTTCAATTTTTGTTTGTTCCTTCGTCGTCTCTGTTCATCTTCTTGTTTCTGTTTTTCCCACGACTCTTTTTGTTCCTTCTCCCAGGCTTCTTGCTTTTCTCTCAGCTGCTCTCTACTCTGCTCTAGCTTTCTGTCAACACTTTTCTTCCTCTTTTTCTGACTGAATCTGTTTGTCCAAATTTTCTAGTTGTATTTTCAGATTCTGACGATATTTTTCTTCTTCTGTTTCCTTTTTCCTTCTTTCTTCTTCTCTCTCTTCCTGTTCTTTCTTTCTCTCTTCACGCTCCTTCTTTATGTTTTCCTCCATTTCTTTAAGTTGTGTGTCTTTCAGTTTTCTCTCTCGTTCCATTTCTGCTCTCTGTTCTTCTAATCCTCTCTTCATGTCTTCCTTTTCTTCCTCATGTTTTCTTTCTAGTTCCTCCCTCTCTTTCTTCATCTCTTCCTCCTTCTCCTTCAGGATCTTCTCCACTTCTTTCTGTATCGCTGCTTCAGCCTCTTGCAGCATCTCATTAGTGTAGCAGCTGCCTCCATTTTCCTTCAGCATGGTGTCGATCTTGTTTATCAGCTCACTGACTTGTCTGTGGTTTTGTTCGTCATAGTTGTTAAACACATGGTATCTTCCTCCACAGTCAGAGATCAGCTTCTTGAAGGATTCATCACATTCTTCCCTGATGTATTCTTCAATGGATAATTTGTCACGTTCCAGTGAATCTCCTCTTGTGAAAAGAATGATGGTGAACTTCTCTGAATTCTTCCCGAACCCTTCCTTGATGAGTTTCAGTGTCTCCTTCTCCTCTGGTGTGAGTCGTCCGATCTGTAACACCAACAGGAAGACATGTGGTCCTGGAGCCAGAAGACTGATGCACTTCACCATCTCCTCATTAACCTCTTCATGAGACAAGGTTGTGTCAAACAGACCAGGAGTGTCGACTACAACAACAGGACGACCGTCCACTTCACTCTGTGCTTTCTGACAACGTTTAGTTACTGATGTTTGACTTGATTTGGATTTAAACTCTTTTCTTCCCAGAATGGTGTTTCCTGTAGAGCTCTTTCCACTTCCAGTCTTTCCTATCAGCATGATCCTGAGACGCTCTGGACTCTGAGTCTCTTCATCACCTGCAACATGAAAACAGCTGGAGTTAGTTACATGTTCACATTTGCTACAGCGTGCTGTAGGCTCGAGACTAAAATATAGGATTTGTACAGAGAAAAAACATTAAACATGACATATAAGTACTTACAAGATATCTTGTTCTTTTTCAGTTCACCTTGTAGTGTGTTGATGTGTTTCTCTTGTTTTATGATCTTTCCTATTTGGGCATGTGCAAATGTTTCTGTTGTGTAGCAGCATGGTGTGTCCTTATTGTGTCTCATCTTGTCATCAGCCTCCAACGTTTAGAGATCTGATGTTTGTCCCTTGATGTTGAACAACAGATCTTCCTCCACACTCTGAAGCAGCTCCTGGATGTCTCTGCTCTTTCTTATAAAGTCAACAACAGCTGGAGCTGCAGGATCTGACTCCACAGTGAACAGAATCATGGTGAAGTCATTGACTGGAGAGCTGAATGAGTTCTGGATGGTCTCTAACTCTCCCTTCTTCATCAGTGGAGGGGACCACAGGTGGGACCAGGAATGAAGGCATGGACGCCTCAAGGATCACAGAGGGAGATACACCTGAGTGATTCCTCCATCAGTTCCTCCTGAGGTTTTCCGTATAAGGCAGGAAGCTCCACAGGGAAACCTGACGTCCTCTCACCTCTCCCTGATGTTTAACACACTCTGATGAGCTGGAGACTGAATGAAGCTCTGTCTGACCTAAAATGGCCTCGGCTGCTGAAGTCTTCCCTGCTCCTCTCCTCCCACACAGAACCAGGTTTAAAGCTGGTTTCATGTGTTCAGGCTCTTCAGAGAAGGTGAGGAAGGTTTCTTTGTTTTCACGCACAATGTTCTCAATCTTCTCCATCAACAGTTGGTGTTTATCTTCAAACATGTTGTAGAGTCTTCCTCCACAGTCTCGAAGCAGCTGGTTGACAGTGGATCGTGTTCCTCTCTTCTTCTCTGTCATGACGACCATCGAGTGTTTAAAAGCATCTGGACCAAACAGACTCAGGATGAACTTCAGTGTTCGTCTGTTCTCCTCAGTGAAATCAGAAGGTTTCACTAACAGCAGCAGAACATTTGGTCCAGGAGAACAAAGACTCTCACACTTCTTCACCTCTTCTATCAGTGTCTCCACAGACAGACTGAACATGTCTGGAGCTTTCACCACTGTTAATGGCCTTCCTCTCCACTTTCCACTGATGACCTCACGTTGTTTTAGGAGACGAGAACTCTTATTCTTTAGGATGAAGTCACACAGCTTTGTCTTTTTGTCGTCACTTTTTCCCACCAGAACAATCCTGAGTTCAGACACTGAAAGAAAACAGAGAAGAAATGTCACAAGTTGGAGTTGGTGTCAACAGGTGAGTGAACCTGAGTTCAGATACTAGGAAACTGCAGGTAGATTGATGAAAACGAATCTGTCCACTGTCCATGACCTACACATCACACTGAAGAGGCATGTCAATGAAGACAGCTCAACAACATCCAGAGTCTCTCTCCACTCAGGGAGAGTTTCCCCTCTGCACCTTTAACTACCTCAACGATCTGTCCCAGGACAATGACTCAGGCTTCCTCCTCAAGTTCTCCAAACTTCAGAGTATGTGTCTGTTGAGTTCAGGAGTTGCTCACATTGGATTCATCTGTGAAACTGATGATAAGACTAGATGCTGATGCTCTACTGAACTGAAGAACATGGTTCTGAACTTGCATAGCTGTATGTGGTAACATGTATTTTTCTTATGTGCATCATAAACACTCTGCACTGCAACTGGTTCAGATTCATTGTTATTCATGTTTTACTGTCTTACACATTAGGACCTAAAAAGACACTCACATGTCAGTTTATTAGGAACACCTAGCTAAAACAAATGCAGTGTAATCCAACAATCCTGCAATACTCATTTTGGAAGATGTAATTTGAATTATATTAAGTTATACTGACAGGTGTTTCTGTAATGTTGTCTACCCCATTTATATCATTGGGTGTAGGCAAAATAACAAAAGTACATTTTGTATTAGATTTAATTAGTTTAACTAGGTTTACCTATTAAACTGGGACCTGAGTGAATATCTCAATCATGTTTTATAATTTTATAGGAAGTTGATTAAATTGGACAAAGTGAGGAGTTGAAACTGAAACTTTTGTCTGATAATTATTAATTCACTTACACTGGTGGCTTGTGCTTTGGACTGATGATGGAGTCTGTGATGTAGACCAAGATTTCACAACTGTTAGAAAATAAAATCAATATAATTAACAGTAAATCAACTTTCTCCTAGATCTCTAACTGATGATAATCATTTGGAAGTGTACTTACAGTTGGGGAAATGGTTTCCTGTTGAAGACAGTAAACCTGACATGGAATATCCTGGACCTATAACAATAAAACATAATTAACTGAAAACACCTTTAACTCAATATTCAAAGCTGATAATTGATGAGTTGTATTGATGAAATATAAAGATTGTTCCTGCACTTACCTGGAGCTTCAGCAGGATCCAGGTTGACACTGACTCCTTCTCCTTGATGACCTCTCCATGAGACTGATGGTGCATCTTTGAAAACATCACAGCTCACATGATCTCCATTGTTCTCCTGCACCACTAGATCCAGATGTGTTAACAGCTGTTGATGTTCAAGGTTCTTGTGCCACAACAACCTGGATCTACATTTTCTGATAAAGTCTCCTAATGGTGGATGTTGCATATCGTTTTCAATGGAACCTGAACTCTTCCCTCTGGGTATTGAGATCAATACCAGTGAATGATAAAATGATTGATCAGTGAATGTTTCAAGGATTGATTGTAACCTCGGTCTGTGTTCCTCAGTGAAGTCTTTAGGCTGTAGAACCAGCAGGAACACATGAGGTCCAGGAGCTGAGAGACTCACACAGTCCTCCACATGTTCTGTCAGTTTGTGTTCAGAGATGTTGGGATGAAGCAGATCTGGGGTGTTGATGAGAACTATTTGTTTCTCCTTCAACTGTCCACTGAATCTCAGACAGCGGTCTGGTTCTTCCTCAGTGATGAACACAGTCTCTCCCAGTATGAAGTTCCCCACTGAACTCCTCTCAGACCAGCTGTTCCCCAGCAGAACAACCCTCAGCTCAGACACTGAAAAGAAAATTAGTTCAATCATTTAAACACAAACTTTGTACTAAATCAACTTTGAGGCAGTAAATTGTTTGTACATTAACTTCATTATTGTATCAACTGATTAGTGTTTTACAAAAGCCAATTTCTCTGATGATATTGCCTTAAACCCCCCCCCCCCCCCATTGATCCAACAGACAACACTAAGTTTGATGTTACCGTGTCCAAAAGACACAAGTAAACTTTTAGTTTTTACACAACCTTTGTCTTCTATTTAATTTGTGAAGGGATCAAGGGAAACTTAATGGCTCTGAATTTAGTTGAGTATTTTCACCATAGCTTCTTCTCTCCTGTTGACTTTTTGAATATTATGATCGGAGACTCCACTGAACCATATAGTAAATGTTCCTTGATTGTTCAGATTGATTGATTGTCTCTTTCAGTTTAACTCACAGTCAGGGCTGCTGCTGCTCTCCTGGGAATCGACGTCATCATCATCTATAAAAATACATAAAACACACAGATTAAACATCAATGTCCTATATTTAAACCTTTTAGACTGATAAGCAATATTCTGCAAAATCTCACAACAAAAGCAGTTTTGGTCATAAACTATAAACTCAAGTAAACTTGAGATCTGTTTCTTAATTTAAACCTGACTGGTCTGGACAAGTTCCAGCTTCCTGATAGGATCAGCCTCGACTACCAGTGGTGAATGCAACACGCATAATGAATTACAACCATTGCTGACCTTGTTGTCTTCTCTAGCAGCTGTTGTGCAGTTAAATTCTGCAGGTTTGTAGTATTGTCTTCAATTAACCAACTGCAGAGTAGACATTCAGCTTCCTGTTTGCTTCCTGCACATACCCAGTGTATGTGGTCATGTAAGTATGTGTTTTCAGGTGTGTCAGTGTGGACGTAGCTTTGAGACGTAGGTTTGAGAAAAGCTATCTGACTTCCAGAGCCATTAAGTTCTTAACACAGCAGGAACAATACAAATAAACAGCAAATAGGACTTCAACACACCACCAACTCAGAAATACATCACACAAGTTGTATTGAAGTGTCAGAGTCTATTGTATATATTTAGTTCAATTAAGCTCATTTGAGTAATAACTACTTTCCCCTTGCCGCTGCCCGGTTAAGTTCCCCTTTGCCTATGTAGTTGCTTTAGTCTATTATTTTCTATTCATTATTAATACTGTTCTATGTATTTTGGTTCATGTGGGAATGCGCACGTTGTATTGTTGTCCTAGTAGTGATGCCATAGTTTGTCAGCGCACTGCGTCCTGATTGGTGTGCAATCCTGTAGGTGTATGTGTGCGAGTTGGAGAAAAAACGAAGAAGAAAGAGACTGCTTGGCTGAAGTAGCCATTAGTTCTGAAGTTTTAGTAAACTAACGGACCTTTATGCCAGAGTGAGAGTCTATCTGGGGCATTTCGCCATCTGAGGATAGTTCGGCGCCGTGAAGAAGGATTTCAGAGACTGTTTTTCTGCCTTGTGTGCGGACTGCGTCGGCTGGGAGTCGCTAGCAAGCTCGGCTAGCTTCGATTCGTCAACCACGTTCCCAAAACGTGGAAACCTCTGACTCCGCAGTTGATATCCCTTCTCATCGACAGTCACCTTCCTCCTCTCTTCAGGGTTCACTTGCCTCCTCTCCCTGTAATTGAACGGATTCCCCGGCACCGTCACCCCCCTCCTCACACTTTTCTTTCTCCATCCTCTGGGACGTATCGCCACGTGAGCTCCAACCCCGGGCAACTTGGTACCTTTAGTTTGGGAATTATTTCAAGGACTTAACCTACCTAAATCGAGTGTTTACTTTGTTTACTCTGAGTGTGTGTAAGTCTGTTTATTTAGAGTTGTAGTAATTATACACTGTTTATTTTTGTTATACCTTTGCCCTTCCCAGTCATTTTTAGTGAGTGTCCACAGCATCTTTAAATCCATAGTGGGACGTCTGCGGTAGTGGCTAGCGGCCTACCTTTATTAGCTTGGCAGTGCAGTTAAGTGTAGGTGGTTTTAAGTGTGCTGCCATACATACAGTACAGGTTTGTAGCCCTCCGCTACAATTTGGTCCTTCGAGCCGGATTTACATAAGGCTAGCACCGCCGCAATGGCTAGTAGTGGACACTCTGTTGGAGATAAGAGCCCTCCCCATATTGAACGCCCCAAACGTGTCAGACAACTCCCTAGACATTTAGATGATTATGACATTGAGTTACCCCCCAGACTTGTTACAGAACAACTGCACAGCCGTAGCACGAGCAACCTCGCCCCAACTACGACTAGCCGCATGTTGGACCTGCCTGCTAGTCATAGCTTAGACGACATAGCCAAGCTAGATGCTGCCTGCTTTACACCCTTTAGTAAGCTGCATAGGCTTGATGTTGACTCCACCGACGAGACTCACCGAGGGCACAAGGGAGGCAGGACGCAGTCACGTCCAAACAGTCCCAGCTCAGTACACTCCTCGATGTCAGGACGAAATGACAACCAAGTGCTACTAGAGCTACTTAAACAGCAGATGGTAGCTATGCAAGGAGATGCACAACACCAAGCAGCAGAGTGGTTACAAAGAGAGCACCTACAGTCTGAGAGAGAGGCCCAACGTGAGCGCCTACAAGCCGAACGAGAACGACTCCAAGTTGAGTTGCAGTCACAGAGAGAGAAGATGCAAGCTCAGACCATAGCAGAGCTGACCAAACAACAATCCGAGCGAGAGCGCATACAGGCCGAAAACTCCCTGCAATCTATCCAGCTACTGACCGAAGCCCTCCGAAATCGATCCTCACGGCCCTCCACCCGAACCTTCAGGAGAACCTCAGACAGAGGGTCGAGACAACGTTCCCCAGAACAAAGGAGCACTGCAGAACGGTACGAACAGGATCCATTACCTGGCATCAAGGAGGAACCCGGAGAGGTAGCTGCTCAACTAACCAGCAGACTACAAGAACTGGTGGACGAAAGACAAGACAAGCACACACCCCAGTGCATCGTAACTCCTGACGCTGGCCAAGCTCCTCCACCGTTGAGTAGTCAAAACATGGCACAACCCACTCCAGCAACCGGTGCGTTGCCCAGGCCCGACCAGACCAGTCCCACACCTGCCGACACAGGGCAGTTTCCCCCTCCATCGGACAGTCAGTTTCCAGTGCCTCATCCTAAGTTCACGCCCCGACTGGTAGCCCCCTATGCAGAGGAGACCACCTTTCCAGACTTCACTAAAGAGGATCGATCTCAGTACACAGAACTGCGTATGTGCCTGGAGACTCTCCTTACGGCCTCCCAGGATGAGAGGTACAAATACGCCCTCCTGTTGAGACATGTCAACGTCCCACGTGCTCACAACATAGCTCTGGCATACGCTCACTCTACCACGCCCTACTCAGATGCACTAGCTGCTCTCGACAACCGCTATGGGCGGCCCTGGGACTTTGTCCTTCAGGAACTCAGAGAAATAGAGAAGCTCCCACCAGTCAAAGATGACCAAGCCCTGGACGACCTGTCCGCAGCAGAAAGGATTTTGTGAGCTCTATGCCAGCTCCAATGTGGAGCGAATCTTGAACAAACTTCCCAAGTTCAGACAGGAGAGGTTCAGGCGTCAGCGAAATCACCTCCCGGCGTCTCAACCTGATCTATCCCTGATTGACCTTTCAAACTTCCTTAGAACGGAGGTTCGCAACTTAGGTATAGATCCTTCCTTACGGGGTGGCTCGGACCCTCGAGATGGAGGAAGAAAGACCAAGAGCCAAGGGAGGCCGACAACAGTGATGCTCCAAAACGAGGACCTCAAAGACAAACAGCCTGGAGTGGCCAACAAGGAAAGGGTCCACAAACTGAACAAGAGCAAAGCAAGGCCTCATTGCCCCTACTGCAACGAAGAGCATTGGTTACACGCTTGTGTAGATTTCAAGAAAATGAACCAACAGGAGGTAGTAGAGTGGATCAAGACCAACCGTCGATGTTGGAGATGTGCGCGTCAGCACAAAGCATCCGAGTGCAACTTAAAGAAGAAGTGCACTCAGTGCCAAGCCACTCACCTGAACATCCTGCATGATGTTAACCGCAGGGACAGAGACCAGCCCACCCAGTCAACAATTGATTGTCACTACATAGACCCAGCGAAGAGTGGAAGCGCTAAAGTGATGCTAAAGATCGTCAGGGTCCAGATACATCACGGAGACAAACTCCTGGATACCTATGCGGTGTTGGATGATGGTTCGGAGAAAACCCTACTCCTCGCCTCCGCCGCAAACAAACTAGGTCTCCAGGGACGGGAGGAGAATCTGACTCTCTGTACTATCAGAAGAGATCTAAAGACTATTGAGGGTGAGAGGGTTGCCTTTGCCATATCGCCCGCTGACCAACCCAACAAACGGTATCAAGTGGGAGATGTCTTCACCAGCAAACACATTGGTCTGTCTCAGTACGACTATCCCATCCAAAAGCTACAGGAGAGGTTCCAGCACCTCCGACATCTACCAATACCTCCGATCTGCAAAGTTACTCCAACCCTCCTAATTGGTTCCGACCACACTGACCTCATCACCCCAGTCAGCGCAGTATATCTCGGGCCCAGAGGATGTCCAGCCGCCATCAAGACAAGGTTAGGATGGACCCTCCAAGGCCCCATTCCCTCTCCAACCAGTGGGCCAGCATCGACCAGCTGTTTATACAGCAAGACAACTTCCATCGACGGCACCCTCTTGAACCACGTCGAACGACTATGGCAACTGGATACTCTCCCCTTCAAGAATGAGAAACAGATGGTCCGATCTAAGGAGGACAAGTACGCTGTCATGCTACTTGAACAGAAAACCACCAGGGTTGAGGTCCAGGGAGTACAAAGATACGCCACTCCACTCCTAAGATGCGAGAATATGCCAACGCTGCACGTACTGAAGGAAGTTGTTAGTAACTACCTTAGGAACACAGAGAGACGGCTGGCTAAGAACCCGCAGCAAGCTGCAATCTACAGGGAGGAGATAAATAAGTTGGTGGCGGCCGGTCATGTCAAGAGAATAGACAACTTCTCGGCCGAACAGACACAAGAATCCTGGTACCTACCGCACCACAAGGTCAGTCATAATGGCAAAGACAGAGTTGTGTTTAACTGCAGCTTTCAAGTTGGAAAGCAGTGTCTGAACAGATACCTCCTCCCTGGTCCTACGCTTGGCCCATCTCTCCTAGGAGTCCTCATACGCTTCCGTCAGGACAAGGTGGCCATCAGTGGAGATATAAAGGGGATGTTCCACCAGGTACACTTACTGGAGGAAGACAAGCCCCTGCTGAGGTTCCTGTGGAGAGACAACCCGAACGACGAACATCCTTCCATTTACCAATGGCAAGTACTGCCCTTCGGGACCACATGCAGCCCATGCTGTGCAATCTTCGCACTACAGCAGCACGTCTCTGAAGACCCGACAGCAGGAGAGGACGTCCGTCACAGTGTAAAACAGTGTTTCTATGTCGATAACTGTTTGCAAAGTGTCGCAACAGAGGAGGAGGCCAGGACCATCCTCATCAAGCTGAGGACACTATTGGCACGGGGTGGATTCGACCTCCGACAGTGGGCTAGCAGCAACCCTAATGCCCTCAGCCAGCTCCCCCCAGAAGCCAAAGTCAAGAGTAGTGAGACCTGGATGGCGCATAGCCCTGGAGAGGCTCAGGAAATTACTCTCGGTCTTGTCTGGCACTTTAAGACAGACACTCTGCACTATCGACATACCCCGCCTGAAGTAAAGCCAATCACCTGACGAAGCATTTACAGCATCCTTGCCAGTCAGTATGACCCACTGGGTTATATTCTACCATATACCACCAGAGCTAAGGTGCTGGTGAGGGAGCTGTGGGCTAAGGAACAGGGCTGGGATGATCCCCTCCCTGATCACCTTGCGAAGAGGTGGAGAGAGTGGGAAGAAGAGCTCCCTCTACTGAGGGAGATCACCCTCCCCCGGAGTTACTTCCCCCCATATGTTGACTTGGATACCAGCAAGATAGACTTACACGTCTTCAGTGATGCCTCTGAGACTGCTTATGGTGCTGTGGCATACCTTCGTACAACAGACAACGCTGGTGTCGTCCACCTGGCTTTTGTCCTAGCGCGCTCCAGAGTAGCCCCTCTGCAACAGTCAATCCCCCGCTTGGAGCTCTGCGCAGCGCTGGCCGGTGCACAATTAGCTAGGATGGTGAAAGAGGAACTTACCCTGCCGATGAGTGAGATGTTCCTGTGGTCAGACTCCATGACGGTGATCACCTGGCTCCAGTCCAATCCTGCTGGTATAAAGTCTTCGTTGGAACCAGGGTCGCAGAGATTCAAAACTTGGTGGGAGTAGAGAGTTGGAGGTACGTCGACACTGGGTGTAACCCCGCAGACATCATAACAAGAGGAGATTCCCTCGCCTCCTTGTCCCAAACAAATCCCTACAGTCATGGTCCAGACTTCCTTCGACAGCCCGAGGAGGAGTGGCCGAGGCAGGCACCCATGACTGAAAGTCAAGACGATCCAGAGCTGAAGAAATCATTTTTTTGTAGTCTAAATCAAACTAAACCCAGTGAAGGTCCTGAGATGGACGACTGTCTGACACTCGAGGACTTACAGAAAAGGACGTTTTTCTGGCATCACCAGGAGCTTCCTGTCACATCGAACCTCAGTGCGGCAGACTATGCTGAAGCTGAGTTGCTGGTCCTGAAGAGGGCCCAGAGAGACTCCTTCCCTGAGGATCTGGAGTGTTTGCAGGAAGGGAAGCCTGTCCCGTCTGACAGTAGACTCCTGACTCTGGCCCTGGAACTTGACGCCCAAGGCCTGATCCGAGTTGGGGGTAGGCTGCGATGTGCCCTGGAGTTAGCGGACGATGTGAAACACCCTATCGTTCTAGGAACCAAGCATAGAGTCACAGAATTGATCATCCAACGGTATGACCAATTAGTGTGCCATGCAGGGGCAGAGAGAGTCTTCGCGGAGATCTGGAGATGGTTCTGGATCCTCCAAGGAAGAGAAGCGATGCGTAGATTTCAGCGAACCTGCATTGATTGTCAAAGGTGGCGAGCTCAGCCAGCCATACCAAAGATGGCTGACTTACCGCCTTGTCGGCTGAAGATAGGAGAGAGGGCGTTCCATTCAACCGGAGTGGACTGTTTCGGCCCGTTCTTGGTCAAGAGAGGAAGAGGGACAGAGAAGCGGTGGGGAATCGTCTATAAGTGTATGACTACTAGGGCAGTACATATCGAACTGCTGCAATCTATGAGCGCTGACTCCTTCCTGATGTCCTTCCGGAGGTTCCAGGCCAGGAGAGGGACACCTGCAACTCTATTATCGGATCATGGACCTAATTTCAAGGGGGGAGAGTCCGAGCTGCGGGAGAGCTTTGGAGCAATGACAGAAGAAGTGAAGACTCGCTTAGCTCCAGCTCAAGTTCACTTTCAGTTCAATCCCCCGAATGCCCCTCACTTTGGGGGGACTTGGGAAAGAGAAGTGAGGTCCATCAAGACAGCGCTGTACACTGTCCTTGGAGCCCAGACCGTCAGTGATGAAGTCCTTGCCACGGTACTTACTGAAATAGAGGGAGTACTGAACTCCAAGCCACTTGGATACGTGTCCACCGACATCGCAGATGTTGACCCTGTGACTCCGAACTATCTCCTCATGGGGCGGCTGGACCCTGCTCTCCCCCAAAGTGTGTACAATCAAGATGAGATGAGAGGGCGAAGGATGTGGAGACACAGTCAGGTTCTTGCAGATCAATTCTGGTCCCACTTCCTCCTGTACTACCTACCCTCTCTTCAGGCCAGACAGAAGTGGGTGAAAGAGCCCCCACGCAGAGGACCATCCTGATCCTGCTTCTGTGTCTTCATCTTCCTAAGTGGTCAACCAACATTAAAGAATGTAGATGGCTAGAGGACTGCCTATGACTGACTATCTGACTTGACTTTGACTCTGAGCTTCTAAGTTTAGGGTAGCTAATTGCGCATAGCGAATTAGGGGGCGGCTGTATTGAAGCGTCAGAGTCTGTTGTATATATTTAGTTCAATTAAGCTCATTTGAGTAATAACTACTTTCCCCTTGCCGCTGCCTGGTTAAGTCCCCCTTTTCCTATGTAGTTGCTTTAGTCTATTATTTTCTATTCATTATTAATACTGTTCTATATATTTTGGTTCATGTGGGAATGCGCACGTCATATTGTTGTCCTAGTAGTGATGCCGTAGTTTGTCGGCGCACTGCGTCCTGATTGGTGTGCGATCCTGTAGGTGTATGTGTGCGAGTTGGAGAAAAAACGAAGAAGAAAGAGACTGCTTGGCTGAAGTAGCCATTAGTTCTTAAGTTTTAGTAAACTAACGGACCTTTATACCAGAGTGAGAGTCTATCTGGGGCATTTCGCCATCTGAGGATAGTTCGACGCCGTGAAGAAGGATTTCAGAGACTGTTTTTCTGCCTTGTGTGCGGACTGCGTCGGCTGGGAGTCGCTAGCAAGCTCGGCTAGCTTCGATTCGTCAACCACGTTCCCAAAACGTGGAAACCTCTGACTCCGCAGTTGATATCCCTTCTCATCGACAGTCACCTTCCTCTTCTCTTCAGGGTTCACTTGCCTCCTCTCCCCGTAATTCAACGGATTCCCTGGCACCGTCACCCCCCTCCTCACACTTTTCTTTCTCCATCCTCTGGGACGGTATCGCCACGTGAGCTCCAACCCCGGGCAACTTGGTACCTTTAGTTTGAGAATTATTTCAAGGACTTAACCTACCTAAATCGAGTGTTTACTTTGTTTACTCTGAGTGTGTGTAAGTCTTTTTATTTAGAGTTGTAATAAATATACACTGTTTATTTTCGTTATACCTTTGCCCTTCCCAGTCATTTTTAGTGATTGTCCACAGCATCTTTAAATCCATAGTGGGACGCCTGCGGTAGTGGCTAGCGGCCTACCTTTATTAGCTTGGCAGTGCAGTTAAGTGTAGGTGGTTTTAAGTGTGCTGCCATACATACAGTACAGGTTTGTAGCCCTCCGCTACACAAGTGTTAGAAACAACATCAGCATAAGAAAAGAATATATTTTACGATGGCACTCCTCTCTGAGTCTTGTTTTCTCTTCCTCCTGTTTTAGGTTCTGCATTCGTTCCACCATGTCCTTTTTTTCCTTATCCCAGGCCTCTCGATCTCTCTTCATCTCTTTTCTACTCTGCTCCAGATTCCTCTCAGCAGTTTCCTTTTGCTCTCTTTCTGACTGAACTGAAGCTTCCAGTTTTCCGCTCCACTCCTGTTGTAGAGTTTCTTGTTGTTTTTTCCATCTCTTTTCATCTTCCTCTCGTTCTTTCTTTCTCTCCTCACGCTCTTTGTTGATGTGTTTGTCTTTGTCCTTCAGCTGTTTTGCTCTTAGTTCTTTCTCCTGTTCAATTTCTCCTCTCAGTGTTTTCAATTCTTCCTCATGTTTTCTCTTCATCTCCTTCATCTCTTCTTCCTTCTCTTTCCTCATCCTCTCCACTTGTATTTTTGTGGATTTCTCTGTGTCATCAAACATCTCAGCAGTGAAGCAGCTGCCACCATTTTGCTTCACCATGGTTTCGATCTTGGTCAGTAGCTCCTGGACTTGTGTGCGGTTTGTTTCATCTTTGTTATTAAAGACCTGATATCTTCCTCCACAGTCGTTTATTAGCTGTTTGACAAAGTCGTCACAATCTTTAATATAACTCTCAAATGAAAATGACTGATCGTCCAGTTCTTCTCCTCTGGTGAATATAATGATGGTGAAATCTCTAGACTTTCTCCCAAAATATTTCTTGATCAGTTCCACAGAGTCTTTCTCCTCTGGTGTAAAACTCCCGATCTGCAGAACCAGTAAGAACACATGAGGATCAGAGAGTCTCACACAGTTCTCCACATATTTTCCTAGTTTCTCATCAGATGTGCTGTAATGAAGCAGATCTGGGGTGTTGATGAGAACCATTTGTTTCTCCTTCAGCTGTGCTCTGACTCTCTGACAGCAGTCTGGTTCTTCTTTAGTATTGAACACAGTCTCTCCCAGTATGAGGTTCCCCACTGAACTCCTCTCAGACCAGCTGTTCCCCAGCAGAACAACCCTCAGCTCAGACACTGAAATCAAAACACTGAATTAGAAAATATTTGTGTAGACTTCATTGAAAATGCACAGGGGTCAAATGCAAATAAATACTCATTAACTCAAGTACACATGCTTGTACTTTACTTGACTCTAAGTTTTAGAAGAAAATATTGTACTTTTTACGTTTTACTTCTTTAACATGACAATCTGTCTCTGCTGCTGTCTGCTGTTAAATCTTAAAACTTGGAAATTCACCAGTGATCTTTTAAATATTCACGTAAATAAAATAAAACATAACTTCAAAGCCACCACCTACAAATACTTTAATTCTAGAAGTTAAAATACAGAAGAGTAATTCTGACTCAGTTTAACTCACTGTTAGGAGGCAGGAGTTCAATGCTGCTGCTGCGCTTCACTGGTTGCAGATCATCTGTCACTGTAAAGATACAGAACATTGAGTCACTCACATATTATCTTTAATTAACATGAAGCTTATTCTGAAAGGACGTATTACTGTAGATTTTAAAAAAAAATTATAACATGATACGTCTCACATTTGAATATTTCAGATACTTTGAAGCACGTCCAGAACTGATTATACAAGGTGCCAGATTCAGTCACGTATCTAATACAGCCTGGACCAAGAAACACACTGCTTTATTTTGAATCTAACTAAATGGTGGTTTTGGAAGAGAAAATATACAATAAAAAAGACACATGTTGCACATTTCAAGTCTGTTGCACTATTTCAATTGTAATCAACTAGTTCTCCTGATGCCTCTTGATAATGAGGATGATGAGAGGAACACCTCAGGTACAAAGGTCTGAGAAAATGAAGTCCTTCTTAAATTTAAGTAAAATGAAATTCATAGTTCACAGATCTTGAAATAGGAAAAAAGACTGTAGAAATAGAAAGTGTATGAAACAACATTTGGTTGTAACTGTATATTGCTGGAAAACACATTTCAATCAAAATATCAACTGCAGTATGATACAGGTCTAAGAATCAGCTCAGCTAACTGAGCTTCCTCTGCATATTTTGTTCTGTTCAGTTATTGTTCCATATAGTTCATCACCTACTGTGTAGAAACCAATATAAATTATTATTATAAGTTATTATGTTACATAGAGACTTTGCATATATTTAGATTTTTACATACAAATCTATAGGGGATATAAATTATGAAGCTTTGTTATAAATTAATCTACAACAGTAACTCAGTTACTAACAGAAAAATTATTTATCTAAATTAACAAACTATTTTGACGCATCCACAACAAGGAGAATTTGCTGCATTTCTTTTTAATTATTTAAAAACATTAACTGTGTTTTCAATATTTCTTGGAATATTGTTTGGACAAAACAAGCATTTAGAAGAAATCACGTTGAACTGAATGATTGGTTCCCTCTATTTTTCTGATTTAAAAAAAAAACTCACTTAATTGAAAAATAATCATCAGATTAATCAAAAACAAAAATAATCCTTAGTTGCAGCCTTATTCAAAAACATTCTCCATCACTGACATAAATAATAAAACTGGATTATAAGCAATATTTAGAAACCTGTGGATTCACCAGTGAGCTGTGAGATATTCAGATGAAATAAACTAATTAAGTTGAGCTTGTACCCACCACCTACACACACTGTAATTCTACAGGTTAAGAATAAAATATTTTGACTCAGTCTAACTCACTGTAAGGAGGCAGATGTGGACAGCTGCTGCTGCGCTTCACTGGTTGCAGATCATCTGTCACTGTAAAGATACAGAGCATTGAATTCACATGTAATCTTTAATTAACATGAAGCTTTTAATTAAGCATGAAGCGGCTCTGGCAGAGGCATAAAAGTGAAGAACTTTTGACCATTAGTTTAATACTGTATTACTATTAATTGTTATTATCTTGTCTTTGATCATTTATTTTTCTGTTTTACCAAAGAAAGTCACCAAACAAAGGGAACCGGCTCTACACAACCTGCAACTATTGATTAAAAGAAACTTCAACTTAGGAATGACTCAGCACAAAAATGACTTCTGCTGTCCAATCCATCAGTAAACAAGTCAGCAGGAATGTTAATGATGGTTCTAATGATGAATCCAAAACATCTTGTTCAGCAGAGATGAACATGCAGTCCTGGAGACCAAATTACTTTTAGTGCAGGAATAAGACAGAGGATATACTGTAGTTCTTTTATGGTGTTATCCTGAGTATTTAAGTCTGACTGGACGCACCTGATCCTGCTGTCGCCATGACGTCGCTCTGCTGGAAACATCTGAGACTAAATCAGCTGAAAACCAACTGCTGGGTTTAAGAACCTGAAGAGAGAAAAGTTAACTGTCGTCATTTCAGACATTTTAGAGCCGACTGACTGAAATCATATGACACTCTCAATACAGAGCAAAACACTGGAAAATATCTCTTTAATAATAATAATCCTTCATTTAACAGGTTTTTAACTTTTTTCAGGTGACTGTAGACGGATAAACATGTACAATTCAAGAGGACAGACAGGATTCTCTGGTTAGGCAACACAGGCAGATGGGTGTCAACTATTTCCGCTCTGAACAAGAGGCTCGTTGCCTCATACTGTGGCAGTAACATGTTGAAGCTGTTTGTTGCTCAGTTGATGAAGTTACTGTGATTAAAACAAGCCCAGTGGAACAGAATCAAGCTGATTTTTTTTCAGTTTAAACATTAAAGCATCAGACGCCTCTAACTTCTTAAGTCAAACAACAATCAGAAATTAAGTTTTCTCATTTCATAGCATCATTTTATTTCTGCCTTTCCGTCTTCCTCATTTACAGCCTCTACCTTCACCTTGACTTTACATTCAGTATAAGAAGCTGTCAGTCATTTACTCTTATGTACAAGTATTTCTGCCTCAGTTTAAAGTGAGAGTGAGTAAAAAGCTGTTTACTGCTCAGTTACAGAAGTTACGTTCCCAAAATGATCTGCACACAAAATCCTCCTTCGCGCCTCTGACAGACACTCACCTGCCAATGATTGATTATCAGTTTGTGACGAAATCCTCTGCTTTAAATCGGCTTAATCAATTCTCCCATCAGTTCGCATTTTGCAGCTTTATTTACGGAGATTTGTTCCTTTCCTTCATGGCTGAATTCCTTGCTGCTGTCAGTCCGACTTTGAAAGTGAAAGTAAATCAGAGAAAAAACTGTGTCTCGACAAGGTGACTGGAAAAACAGGAACATTCTTATTTTAATTAGGTTTTTAGTAACATACGCAGTAACATGATTTTTATCTCTGAAAGTCTAAACATCTTTTTTATATTCTTTATGCCTTATTTTCTTTCAACATTTCGATTCACTTCCTCTTAATTGACGTATTTAGATTTGACATTTGCAGTAATATCTGTTTCTGTGTGGAAGAGAAAGCAAGAGTCAGTTAAGATTAAATTCATTTTATTTCACTGTTATTAAAGACTGATTAATAACTGCTCTGGAAAAACAGTGCACTATTTACATGCCGTGAATCTGGTACCAGTAAAACAGACTGGTTCCTACTGGTAATTAAATGTAGGAAGTGGAAGGAAGAAGAAAGAAAGACTTTGAAAGAAGAAAGGATAAGTAAATTATATACTATGATAATTAAAAGTATTTTTGTAAATACTGCCCACTCCCTCCTTCAGCGTCTCCTGTGCAGAAGCAAACCTGTGAGTCTGTTTGACTTCAGCCTTTAACAACAGTCCACACTGAACTACAAGGAAACACTTTGTTCATGTTATAATAATAAAGAAAACAAAGAGCAAACACTGAACAAACCAGCAGAGATTCATCTAAATTATGTCTTAATGTGACGTTAAAAGTTATACAGCATCCTTTCAAAACAACAAAGCATTTAGCGTCTGTAATGTCAGATTTATCTCATGAGCAGTTTAAATGATATTCATGTTTAATTTTGATATATGCTGCAATATTTGTTCTGTAGCTTTGAACAAGGTGAATAATATCAAGATTTTTTTAACTTTTCACACAAACATGTTCTAATATTGGAATAAAAAAGGCTCTGGTCTTTTTCTTATGTCTGAAAATAATGAGACAACCATTTAGGAAAAAATAATATAAAACAAACAAAAAAGGCAATTATTCCCAACGACACTACAGAAGAAAATGTTGTATTAAGATTCTCTACACACTGAAACGGCAACACATTGCTGCTGTATTACAATACTCCACCTTTTATAAAGCCTGGTTTATCACTACATACACAAGCCTGACGTATACAGTATATCACTCTACACTTGGATCAACCCCAAGCATATATCAGCAAGAACAGTTTCGACCAAGTAATTACTTGACAAGTTATTTCTATATGCAGATATTTAGTAATTAAAATATAAACAAAGGTACCGATAATTAATCATGGAAGCAAACCTTCATCCTCAATGCCCAGTTACTCGTTATTTATGTGCTTAAATTGTCCTCCATGATTACAAATGTGGTTTTAGTTAAATTAACCCACAGTTAGTTATTTGCTAACAGAGCCTGAACCATCAGTACTGTTGCTATGGTTACCTGCAGGTTAATATACCTTGAGCACTTTGAAGATGTTCTTAGAGACACTCACAGAAAATCCAAATTAAAGTACATTGCATTTGCTTTTTCTGGTCCAGCATTTATGTCTGTTCTACTAATGTTTTACTACTGTGACTCTTTCTTGTACACATGATGTAAATCCATCCAATAGTTGAGATATTTCAGTTTGTAGCAAAGTGGAGGACAGAACGTCACTGCCGTCCCCAAAGTTGCTGCTACCATGGCAACAAAATAAAATACCTCATAAAATGGGACATGTATTCGGTTTGTCGACTTCTTTCAGGAATTCCTCCATCAAGTCACTTATTTGTTTCTCATGAGCTTCCTGCAGGACTTCTTTTTCCTTCAGATTCTCCACACTCTTTAGTTCTCTTTCATGTTTTTTCAGTAAGTCACGGATCTTTTTAACATTTCCCCTTTTTCTGGTTAAACATTTCACTAAGTCTTTGATTTCTCCTCGATATTTTTTCCTTATTTGTTCTTCAGTCTTAGCTGAAAGAGCCTTTAAGAGGTCATACTGTTCTTCTTTGGCTTTCATTTCTTCTTCGTGCTCTCTCAACTCTCTGACGTATGTCTCTCTGAATTCATTGAATTCCTCCGCTTGCTTTCTGGCTTTTTCCTCATACGTCTCCTTCATATGTGTCAGGCCTGACTCATACTTTTCCTCCAATTCCTTTCGCTCTTTCTCCTCCTGTTCTTTTCTGATTCTGTCATCCTCTTTTCTATTGTTCTCATATTTTTTCTTTTCCTGCTCATGTTCTTCTGTTAGCTTTTTAATAATTGCTTCTTTCTCCTCCTGCCTCTGCTCATTTTCCTGATGTCTTTTCCCCCACCAGTCTTTTTGTTCCCTTTCCCAGGCCTCTTGTTTTTCTTTCATCACTTTTCTACTCTCCTCCAGCTTTCTGGTTTCCTTTGATTCAAATTCTAGTTTTATTTTTGCCTCTAATGCTTCAAGTTTTTGTTCCCACTCCTGTCGCTGATATTCTTCATGTCTTTTCCTCCTCCAATCTTCTTCTGCTCTCATTTCTTGTTCCTTCTTTCTTTTGACAAGCTCTTTGTTGATGTTTTCCTCCTTTTGCTTGAGTTCCTTGTCCTTCAGTTTTCTCTCTTGTTCAATTTCTGCTCTCTGTTCTTCTATTTTGCTTTTCATCACCTGCATTTCTACCTTATGTTTTCTTTCTAGTTCCTCCCTCTCTCTCCTCATCTCTTCTTCCTTCTCCCTCAGGATCCTCCCTGCTTCTTTCTGTATCGCTGCTTCGGCCTCTTGCAGCATCTCATTAGTGTAGCAGCTGCCTCCATTTCTCTTCACCATGGTGTCGATCTTGTTTATCAGCTCACTGACTTGTCTGTGGTTTTGTTCGTCATAGTTATTAAACACATGGTATCTTCCTCCACAGTCAGAGATCAGCTTCTTAAAGGATTTATCACATTTTTTTTCAATGTACTCATCAATGGACACTCCCTCTTGTTCCAGTGTATCTCCTCTTGTGAAAAGAATGATGATGAACGACTCTGAATTCTTCCCGAAGCCTTTCTTAATGAGTTTCAGCGTCTCCTTCTCCTCTTGTGTGAGTCGTCCGATCTGTAACACCAACAGGAAGACATGTGGTCCTGGAGCCAGAAGACTGATGCACTTCACCATCTCCTCATTAACCTGTTCATGAGACAAGGTCGTGTCAAACAGACCAGGAGTGTCGAGCACAACAACAGGACGACCGTCCACTTCACTCTGTGCTTTCTGACAAAACTTAGTGACTGATATTTGACTTGATTCAGCTTTAAAATCTTTTCTTCCCAGAATGGTGTTTCCTGTAGAGCTCTTTCCACTGCCAGTCTTTCCTATCAGCACGATCCTGAGACACTCTGGACTCTGAGTCTCATCACCATCTGCAAAATAATAAGACTTGGAGTTAAACTTGGAGCAGCAGAGGTAGTACTCAAGAAATGGATTATCATTACATCCAGGAAGTAACGTTGTGGCTGTACCAGCTAGCGATATGCTACAGTAAGTATAAAGTTCATCTGTTGCCGACACCTGAAAAAGGACATGGGTCTTATGTGAACCACGCTGAGCTTGGGCCTGTGATACTCCACTCAGCTCTGCCCCAAGCTGGGTGGTGGTAGCTGACCATCCTCTGGGGTGCCATGAACAACACACTGACTGCTCACAGCTCCGCTTTGGCTTCAGGTCATGTAATTTAACTTATAAACATAGACAGAAACCAGAAACTAAATCAAACTCCTCCACCTCCAACTGATACTACTACCTCCGGGGCGGTGGCATAACAACATAGACTGCTGGTTCTACACAGGAATATAACACCGGTCTCATGTGTGAAAGTCCTGTATTTTGTTGACTCATCCATCCACCCCAAGCTCCTTCTAAGGTAGATTTGTTCGCTCTTTATACTAAATCACCTGACTTCTTCTTTTGCTTATGTCATAGTTACTATAGCTGCTAGATGTTACCTTTCAATTAAACATAACTCTGGGTCATAATAAGCTGTTGCACAGACGACCTGTAGCCCATTTTTTATTTTATTTTATTTTTTTACAGGAGGACAGTCTAATTTATCGCTATTCACCCCTAAGCTACATGCTAACACTACCTCAAAAATAAATATTGAACCATAATAATGCAGACAACACACAGATTTATGTAATATATCACTATGACAAGTATGGACCCGTGCAAACTGAGTAGGTGCACTGAACAAATTAATGATTGAATGTTCAACATTTTATGCAATTAAAGAATGTTTAGTTTTGGTACCCAAAGAAGAACAATTAAAAGTCATGTTTTACGTTTTAGACCACAAACCAGCCCAGAAATCTGCATGTAGTCGTGGCCTAAATTTTAGCATCCACATTAATAAAATTACAAAATTTGCCAACTATCACCTTAAAGACACATCAAGAATTAAAGGACTGACTTGTGCCTCAGCAGGATTTAGAGAGAAGAGTCAGCTACAGCTGATTCAAAACATTGATTCTAGAGTCCTCACTAACTTGCCTCATATCCATCAGCAAACCAAATTTCTTGCAGTGTTTTCTTTCTCTTTCTCTCTCCTTTGTGCTGGCCCCCTAAGGCAGGCTCATATCAAGTCAGATCCGCCTTATTGACCTTGATTCTTGGCAAACGATCAATAGTCCCTATGACAAGATCAGCTACATGACAACAGTAAGTTAAAGTATCTAGCCATTAAGATATACTTACAGGTGATCTTGCTCTTTCTCAGTGTCTGAAGTTCAGCTTGTTGCATGTTGATGCATTTCTCTTGCTGTATGATCTTCTCTATTTGGGCATGTGCAAATGTTTCTGTTGTGTAGCAGCATGGTTTGTTGATGCATCTCATTGTCTCCACAGCCTCCAACATCTCAGAGATCTGCTGTTTGTTCTTGACGTTGACAACAACAGATCTTCCTCCACAGCTCTGAAGCAGCTCCTGGATGTCTCTGTTCTTTGTTACAAAGTCAACAACAGCTGCAGCTGCAGGATCTGACTCCACAATGAACAGAATCATGGTGAAGTCATTGACTCCAGAGCTGAATGAGTTCTGGATGGTCTTTAACTCTCCCTTGTCTTCATCAGTGAGGGGACCCACAGGTAGGACCAGGATGAAGGCATGGACGCCCTCAGGATCACAGAGGGAGATACACCTGAGTGATTCCTCCATCACTTCCTCCTGAGGTTTTCCATACAAGGCAGGAAGCTCCACCAGGGAAACCTGACGTCCTCTCACCTCTCCCTGATGTTTAACACACTCTGATGAGCTGGAGACTGAATGAAGCTCTGTCTGACCTAAAATGGCCTCGGCTGCTGAAGTCTTCCCTGCTCCTCTCCTCCCACACAGAACCAGGTTTAAAGCTGGTTTCATGTGTTCAGACTTTGGTCTCCTGGTCTCTTGGAAAGTGAGGAAGGTTTCTTTGTTTCTATGCACAATGTTCTCAATCTTCTGCATTAACAGCCTGCGGTCATTTTTAAACATTTTGTAGTGACGCTCTTCACACTTTTTAAGCAGCTGATTGAACGTGAAACTCACTTCAATCCCCTCATGTGTGCTGACGACCATCGAGTGTTTAAAAGCATCTGGACCAAACAGACTCAGGATGAACTTCAGTGTTCGTCTGTTCTCCTCAGTGAAATCAGAAGGTTTCACTAACAGCAGCAGAACATTTGGTCCAGGAGAACAAAGAGTTTCACACTTCTTCACCTCTTCTATCAGTGTCTCCACAGACAGACTGAACATGTCTGGAGCTTTCACCACTGTTAATGGTTTTCCTCTCCACTCTCCACAGGAGGCAACACAGTGTTTGACTGGGTTATGTTTCTGTGCATCTTGGTTTCCAATGATCAATCTGCAGAGTGCTGCCTTTGAATCCTCACTTTTCCCCAACAACACAATCCTGAGTTCATGTGCTGTAATAGAACATAAATACTGATTCAGAGTTTTACAAACTTTGGGGGAAAAAAGACAAATTATGGGGCCCTAACAAACCAAGTTGATTTCTGACAACTGCCACAAAATTTAAATATGTGTAATAAAAAGCTTGAACTGGCACTTTTAAGTTTTACTTTGCACTGGTTTTGTTAGCCTGTTTCAGCTGGAGTTATGATACGTATGTTTTCCACATTAAAATGTCTTAGCATAACTAGACCTGTTATATTTTTTGGAGTTGTGTGCTTCCCAAACGTTTCCATCAATTCTCAAACCTAGAGAAATCTGTGATTTTGACCATTTCATTCAGTCACCTTTCAATGAAGTCATATCCTCTATGCTCATACTTCTCCAGTGTTGTGTTTGTTTGCCAGACGCTCAAAATTGACTTTAATACTTCCAGTTTTAAGTCACATTTTTAAGATACGCTTTTTACACCTTGGTTGTTTTGAACTACATATTTTAACTGGATGAAGGGTTTTAGTCATTGGTCGTCAGGATCTTAAGTTATCAGAGAATTTAGCTGAGGAAGTGTTAGCCTGCTCAGCTCCCAGCCGCCATGTCCTGTGTCGGTGAATCACTGATTTTTAAAATGAGACCAGATGTTGCATTTGACTGTAGTCTGTCATTTTGACGGGTGGTTTTGTATTTGTCATAATCTATTATTTCCCATCATTTTAATTTTAATTTTTAATGATAATGACACATATACTTTTTAATAGCATTCAATTTTATTAATTTATAAGGGCATTACATGTCAAACTGCTTTATTTGGAGAGGAGACCTAGTCTTTTATTATTGTATTCTATAGGGACCATACTGTGCGTAAACTCAATCGTAAAAATATCATAATACTTTATTGATCCCAGGGGGAATTTAGGTTTGGTTATATACATACTAACATCTGAGAACAAACGTTGCTTTATTCAGTGGTTCTGACCACACCAGGTGAACTATGGCACACAGTGGCCAACTTGCTAGCTTGATGTGTCAAAGCCCTATATATAAATCCAACACTGATGTAGGTGGATAGCTTTTAGTGATTTTTTGTACAATATCATGCCTGTACTATAATGTCTTAAACAGGCCATTATCCCGCCCCTCTCCAGTGACCAGGCTTACGCTATTCAAGTCCCCGGACTATGGAACTTGACCTAGGTTTTCTTTGTATTAATCTTATTCCTATTTATTTGATCTTATTTTATTTTAACTTCCTCTATGCGCATGCTTTTTGCCTCACCTGGTTTTATTTATTTTTGTAACATTGCCCATAAAAAGTGCTATATGAATACATGTTGTGTTATCATTATTATTATCTCAGTATTATTAGCAATATTATCCCATACTGACATATATTGCAATGTGCTATATGCAAATCACATGAAACAATCAACCAGTTGTGTTTGACCTCAGCTGTGTTCAACACAAATGTTTAGCGTGAGCCCTGAACCTTGAGGAACCATGTTTAAAATGTTTACTTATGGCAAATTATAGACTGGATGTAACAGTCTTTACTTACGTAAGTTCAGTGTGCATTCCACTGGTGATGGGTTCTGTGATGTGTTTGGTTTAAGCCCTATGACAGAACAAATACCAGTTACTGTACAATATATAAAATTCATCTCATAGAACTTTGTGCACAGAACATGATAATGATTATGATAATGATTAATTGTAATCAATTCACTTACAGCTGGTAAAATAGTTTTTTGTAGCTTCCATTAAAGATATCCACCCTTCGAAAAGATGACACGATCAAGTGAGATAAGTTTCAGTTAATTTTCTGACTTAATCGAGGCTCATTTGTATTTATCACACATTTACCACTTACCAGGAGGTTTAACAGGGTCCAAATCAGAAGATTTTTCCTGATTTTTCAGGCTTTCATGATCAAGAGGTAAAAAGGACTTTGTGAGCTGAAATAAATCACAGATCACATGATCTCCGTTGTTCTCTTTCACAATTTGGCTGAAGCGTGTTAAGAGCTCGTCAAGTTCAAGGTTCTTCTGCCACAAAAACCTGTATTTACATTTTCTGATCATGTCTTTTAAGGGTGGATGCTGCATGTATTGTTCCATGAAGCCTGACCTCTCCTCTGTGGGTGTTGATATTAGCAGCAGTGAATGATCAAATGATTGATCACTGAAGAGTTGCAGGACTCTGCAGAGCCTCAGTTTGTGTTCCTCAGTGAAGTCTTCAGGCTGTAGAACCAGCAGGAACACATGAGGTCCAGGAGCAGAGAGACTCACACAGTTCTCTACATATTTTCTTAGTTTGTCTTTAGAGATGTTGGGAAGTGGCAGATCTGGGGTGTTAATGAGAACTATTTCTTTCTCCTCCAAAAATCCACTGGCTCTGAGACTACTGTGTTGTTCTTCATTTGTGACCTCAGTCTTTCCTAGTATTAAGTTCCACACCAAACTCCTCTCGGAGCAGCTGTTTCCCAGCACAACAACCCTCAGCTCCGACACTGAAATGAAAACAATACATCAGGTAACCAGCTAACGTAGTCCAAGACAAAACACTCATCAACTTAAAATCAGAAAACAATTCAGTTTCTTTAAAGCCGGAGTGCAGGACCTTTACATATAATTAAACATCCATTACATTCAAGCCGTTTGCCGAACCAGTTCACATACTGCTGATTGAGTCTATTAGCGCCATGTAAATCTCTCTGTACTCCACAGTATATTTAGTTTCAAATCTCTGGTCTGTGCACCTGTAGTGATGTGTGTGTACATCAACCAGTTAATTTACCACAGCTGAAGACTAGGGATGGTACCGAGCCCCGGTATTGAACGGGCCCAGGGGCTACATTATTCAAGACTGCAGGCTCAATAAGCTCCAACCTTAACGGTTCTGCTATCGGTACGGGAGCAGTCACGTTTTTTGGGTTTTTTTTTTTTTCTCGGCTAGATAAATGTTATCTTGCACATTTATTTCACTAACTCTGTCAAATATCCGTCTACGTATGATATATTTTTGCTACTCTTACAGACGACGAGAGATCTGTCTCCCTCTCTGCCTGCTGTTTGTGTGAGTGGAGGGCAGAGCTGTTGTTCCAGTGAACACACCAACTCAAGCTCGTAGCCTACTTTTACATAGATAACGGTGGCGGAGAGAACCAAACGGTCCAAAGTGCTGCTCTACTTTACTAGAGTGGATGCAGACATATCTGGAGGCTCAGTCTGACTTTTATTATGAGTCCCCCATGCAACACAGTACAACATGCTGAAGGTTCCTCTGTGAAATACATGGGTAGGAACCTTCAACATGTTGGACTATGTTGCATGGGAGACACATTAAATCGTTGACAATGTACATTCAGACAGAACATGGTGTCAGGTGGAGTATAGTGGAGCCTACAGTGGGAAAACCAAGGAGGAGTTTCTGTATCCGACAGTGTTTGTGTAATTTCTCTCACTACCAGAGGGGGGACACAAAAGTTCCACACTGCAGGTTTAAGTTAGAATTGGGAAAAATCTGTCATCAAGAACTTGAAAAATCATCACTGATGCTGCAAATCCTCTAATGATTTAGATCCAGTTTTGCCAATCTTAAAGTGGCGTTGTTATTTGTGGTTTGCGGTCATTTAGATTAGCCTTGTGTCAAATGATCTGCAAGCAAATGTTGGTCTGGTCTGGTGGATTTCAACATGGAGTGTCTCCTATGAATGTGGCCGTTGTTGCTCTAGCCGCCTTACTAATTTTGCACTCTCCACCTCTGTTCTAGACATTCGGGGAAACAAGAACCTGCACACGATTTGTTTGAAACACCTATCTCAGAGTATGACCCAAAGGAAACACAGAAAGAAGCCGCCCTTTCAGTTCACTGTAGAGAGATCTACATTCAGGCAACTATCACATCAGTATGGTTACATGTTAGTTTAGATACAGGGTTTCTGCAGGTTTCAACAAGTTAAATTTAAGACTTTTTAAGACCATTATGAATGAAATTTAAGACCATTTCAAGTCCATACTGGTAAAAAAGTAGAAAGGCTATAAAAGAAAATTGGAGTCCTAGAATTACTCGCAAACTAAATGAATTTATTCACATTTACAAAACTGTGTATTCACATTCACACCTTTGTGAGAGAGACAAAGGGATTAACACAGCAGAAGTCATATATATATATATATATATATATATATAACAAGGCCACAACAACTTAACTATTTAATGCCCATCAACTACACTGTGTGTGTGAGTCAGAGAGAGACATAGGCTGCAGTCGAAAAGTCTGTTTTCCTAACTGAGAGAAATGAGCAGAAAGTAACTAAGCGGCAGCCATGATAAGAGCTGGTCCAATTCTCTTAATGATGAGGAAAGGAGCTTCAGTGCTTCCTATCTCCTTTAGCAGAGAAAAAGTACGAAAAGTAAAGGAGAAATTGACGTCCAACATTTCATTGCCGCAGCAACATTTAAAGTGACACACTATTGTAGTTTCACCTCGGCAGACCCACGTAAACGTAGAAACAACAGCAGCGGTTTTATGTCTGATGAACTCTCCTTCACATCTTTCCTTGACCTCATGATGTTTTATATCGAGGTCAGAGAGAAGTGGTTAGAGAGGAGATTATTTCACCTTTTCGACTCCAGCCATAGAGAAAAAATTAAAACCAAAAATATACGAAATGCATTTACTTTGCAAACTATGACCCTTCAGTTTAATGTGACTCACTGTTGGGACGCAGGAACGTGGGGCTTCTTCTGCCTTTGAGTTTTACATCATCTGTAGACACAAAGAAAGAACACTGGTGTCATTAAACTGTGGTATGTGCTGATAGAGAGATCAGCAGCGGTATTAGCAAATACAGCAGTAAAAAATTAGAAAAGGAGGGGGATCCTTAACAATGATAAGATGTGTAGGTTGTCCCTGTGATAGTCATCTCAGAGACTGACCAACCTCCCATCATTGACTCCTGGTGAGCCATGTTGTTAGCATTAAAAGAAACTGATAGTAGTTGGGTATCTGCATTAATACAGCTGCAGTTCAATGATGGAGGAGGAATTCTTAGGTTTAATTACTGGTGTAAATAGGTGAAGACTACTGAGGTGTGAGCCTGGTTAGAGAATCACACTGATGACTAAAGTGAATGATTTATTATAACTATTATTACATGTTATGTTGGTGTTCTCTAAATAGCAGACCTTATCTTAATGCTAGTAGCATATTACCTATGAACCTTATGTGTTACACATCAATTATCTACAAAGGTAGGACCATAACAAAGATTACAGCTTTAATGTCCACCTGATGACACTCAACAGCTAGAGCACATGTCCACAACCAGATGATGATATAGACCAATATAATAAAGAAAACAATTCATATATCTATGTTCAGTTTATTCTGGCAAACACTGACTAACAAACACAATTTATTTTATTTATAGTAGACAGTGAGAGACTAATAAAGTCTGGATGGACTCACCAGGTATTGCAGATGCCATTATGTCACTGAGCTTGAAACATCAGAATCTGATTACACTGAGACCAAATGGTGGGATATGACGTAAGAACCTGAAGAATAACAAATAGATTCACTTTCTGTAAACCAATAAAACAAACAGTCCATTCAATGTCCATTCACCTCAATGAATTTTGTATCTTCCTAATTAAGGAGCCACATGTAGCACTTACAGATAGCTAGGACCAGAGTTTAGGTTCAGTCTAGAGTTTTGAAAAAACAGATAACAGAACCAATGGGGCTAAATTGAGCTGGTGTAGAAATTTTGTAGTAGACAGTTTTGGTACCAAACTGCACATTCACACAACAAGGAGTTGTGAACTTAATCCCATTAAAAGTACAATAACTCATTTTGGTTTGACCTATACCTATTTGAGTTCTTTTTTTTTTTTTTCAATATTTGTTTCTGTTGTTACTCATTTTACTCCGAGTTGACTCAAATCTGTTTTCATTTTATGTAAATCAGGCCTTTTGGAGTTTAGAGCTACCTTTTTGTTTTTTTACTTACTTAACCACCAAGTTTAGGACCAAGTAATACAACCCATACACATTACCAATTCAGCACAAAAAAATAAGATGGAAATTGAAACACAAGGTATTACAGAGTTCAGACACAAAACTCACAATATCAGAAATCAAATTATATGATCAATAAACTCAATTTTCACAAGTCGGTTTGTGATCTATCCTTTTAAGTCCTTTACAAGCCCAAATGAGCTCTACAGCATGTTGCAGCAAAATACTGTAAGTTTAGTTCTGTCATGATTCAGGTGTATGAATCAGTGTCCTTCTCTTGGGAGTGTCATCTAGGTCTTACAGAAGCAGACACCTATCCAACATGATGTCTCCTATAGGTTGCTCCCCATCTTCATTCACCACTGATAGGTGTGTAAACACCAAGCCATGGTTACAACTTAACAGTGTAAGGTTCCTTGGTCAAAACATGTAATTACTTATTACGTTTTTGAAAAGTAATATTAACACTCCATGCCCACAGCAATGCCTTACACTACTCGTTATTTTACTTATCCGTTCCACCCCACAAAATGGGCAATTACCTCAATCGTGGGAACATTTCATCCAGGACACATCCAATCATAAGCTTCAGTCGTTCTTGTAGCCTGTTGTCGACAATTCATATTTTCTAAATTTTCGCAAAGTTAATTTTCACAAACTTCATGTTGTGGTGTCGAGGTGGGTGTTTCAAGGGATTTCAGGTTGTGTTTATCGCAGTGGAAAGACTCTTAGCACTTGAACACAATTTATGTTTGATAGCTATATTCTTATCACATCTTTCCTCTCGAGAAAAATCAAAGTAAGGGTAAAATTTGCAGCAGCTTTAGTGTAAGCGTTTCCATCTCCTAAGCTAGCTTACTGTATTTTTCCCCATCAAGCACCAAATGTCATTGTAACGTCAGAGAAAGACGTCAGACAAACGTCTAACGGACAGACGTTAAAACTGTGGTTAAAAATGAAAATCGGACTGACATTAAAACGCTTCGTTGGCCAATTAAGTTTTGCTCACGACTAAAATGACGGTATTTTGTATGTCAAGATGACGTTGGCATGAGGCGTTTTGAAGACGTTGGATTTTGGTTACTCAACAACACAACTTACAACCAGCAAAATGTCAGCTGCCGTCAGCATTCTACACCACATTGACTTGGGCACCAGACGTTGTCACCGAAATCACAACATACATTCTACCGAATGTCAATGTCTAACAATGGTGGTGGCCGGCTACGTGTCTGCTGGGATACTTGTTTCTGTGCTTCAAGTATGCTATAATAACTGCCTGACTTTCATTAAATGGTGACATGTTTCAACAGTGCAACATGTACAAATATGTTAGTCTTACACCTTTAATAACAAAATGAAGTATTTGAGGAAGACAAGCACCTAAAATCAAGTTGATCGTTAATTTACGCGCCTTAAAATGGCGGCGCCGTTAAGCTCATTTTACTTACCAGGCTAAACTTGACTATGCCAGTTGCAGGTAGCTTCTCAATTCACTTTAAACACAGTAAAACCACAAAATAGAAAACACGCTGTTTGTGGCTTAGCTAATGGCAAATTCGGCTAATGTCTGTGATGGATGGGTATGACTCCTACCACTAGGTGGAGGATGGTAACAGTGTTGTGTTGTGATCAAACTGTTGGAAGCTGGAGAGGAAGAAGCGGGAAATAAAAGACAGCCGTTCTGCAATACAGGTCTCCGTGTGTGTGTTTACAACATTATACATTATAACATGGTGTCAGAAGACAAAACAAATGAAAAAGAAAAATGGAACAGTTAAAACCTCCGAACAGTCTGTGCTTCGAGGGAAATCTGGCGGAAAACTGGCGAATGTGGATTCAAAAGTTTGAACTATATCTCATCGCGACAGGAATTGAAGAGAAGAGTGAGAAGGTGAAATGTGTGACATTCCTTCATGTTGCTGGAGATGAAGCGATAAAGGTATTTAATACCATGGATTTTGATGAGGATGTGGATGGTTTTAACGGACTTAAGGAAATGTTCAGAGTCTATTGTGAGCCACGGAAGAATATCACCTACCAGAGACACGTGTTCTTTACCCGAGTCCAAGGGCCGAACGAGACAATTGATGCCTATGTGACGGACCTTAAGAACAAGGCAAAAGATTGTGAATTTGCACAGCTGACAGACGAACTGATAAAAGGCCGCGTAGTCTGTGGCATAAACAATGACACTGTGAGAGCTAGGCTGCTCCGGGAGATGGATTTAACCCTGACAAAGGCTGTGGATATCTGTCGAGCAAGTCAGGTAACGCAAAGTCACATGAAAGCACTACACGAAGAAACAGATGTAGCTGTGAATAAGATAAAAGTTACCAAAACGAACAAAGCTAGTAGCAAACACTATGAGACTGATAGAGAGAAGGGAGAATGCAAGAGGTGTGGCTACAACCACGAACCAAAGAAGTGTCCAGCATATGGGAAAATATGCAACCAGTGCAAATTAAAGACCCACTTCAGTCGCGATTGCAGGTCACAAAAACAACAGTTGAAACCCAGGAAAACTGAGAAAAAGTACATGAGATACAAGAAGAAGAGGATGATGTCATGTTTATGGGATGTATAGAGATCAGACCAAGTGAGCAAACGGATGAAAAGTTTCAGCTGGATACAGTCTCAACAGTGAACAATGACAGTAAGAAATGGACTCAACAGCTCAAAATAAGCAACAGTGTGTTAACTGTAAAGCTTGATACAGGCGCAGACTGCAACGTGCTGTCAATGAGAGACTTTGAGAGAATCACAAACAAGGATGCGGTACTACAGAAGTCAAAATGGAAGCTACTTACTCTGGCCACATGATTACAACAAAGGGCAAGACAAAGCTCAAGTGTGATTTCAAAGACAAAGAATATGAGCTGGAATTCCAGATCATAGAGAGAGACTTACCTGCTATCCTTGGAAGAGAATCCTGCACAAAACTAGGACTAATCAGGCGAGTGTACAGTGTAGACAAAAAAGACACTACTGACATTCTGAGCGAATATGAAGATGTGTTCACTGGTTTAGGGTGCGTGCCAGGACTTCACCACATCCAGCTCAATCCAGATGTCACTCCAGTCATTGACCCACCAAGGAAAGTGCCAATAGCACTGAAAGACAGAATAAATGCAGAACTGGATAGGATGGAGGATCTTGGAGTTATCGTAAAGCAGACTGAGCCCACAGACTGGGTGAACAGCATGGTCACTGTGGTAAAGCCCAACAAACTGCGAATCTGCATCGATCCCCAAGATCTCAACAAAGCTATAAAAAGGGAACACTATGCACTACGCACAGTTGAAGAGATCATCGCAGAGATGCCAAATGCAAAGGTTTTCTCTGTAGTGGACGCCAATCATGGCTTTTGGCAAGTACAGTTGGACAAGGAGAGCTCCAAGTTATGTATGTTTAACACCCCGTATGGACGTTACCGCTTCCTGCGACTTCCTTTTGGAGTGTCGTCAGCTCCAGAAGTGTTTCAGAAGTGCATTGCACAGAGACTGGAAGGTTTGGAAGGAGTGGTGAACATAGTGGATGATATCTTAGTGTGGGGGGAAGACGAGGAACAGCGTGACAGGAGACTGAGAGCGCTGATAGACAGGATCCGAAGCATCAATCTAAAGTTAAACAAAGACAAATGTAAGATCAGAAGGACAGAGATCACATACGTCGGTCACATTCTGTCTGCAGAGGGAGTGAAACCAGACCAAGAGAAGGTCAGAGCTATACAGGACATGCCCGAACCAGAAGACAAGGCAGGTCTGCTGAGGTTTTTAGGGATGCTTCAGTATCTGACAAAGTTTGTCCCAAACCTCTCTGATGCGAGTGCGCCACTCCGGAAACTCCTGGAGGGTGACGTAGCTTGGCATTGGGAGGCTGAGCAGCAGAAAAGCTTTGAGAAGCTGAAGACGCTTGTGAGCAAAGCCCGGGTGCTCAGGTATTTTG